TGACCGGCCTCCCCGTGGCTCTTGTGACAGTCGCTTCCTCGGGGGACGAGAGGAGTCTCACCCGAAATCTGGCGAACGGTTCCCTCTAAAGCCATGCCGGGCAGGCACAAGCAGCCAAGACGGCCTGTTTGGGACCCGCTTGGGCTTCCCAGCGGTGCAACCGCCAGCCCTGTAGAGATCCTGAGGTGCCCCCCCGAAATTGGGAGCTGGGCGTAACCACGCAGAGCAGTCCGGCCTGCCCCCTCAAGCCACAGAACTTTCCGCTCCGCTCCGGGCGAGCGGTGCCTCTCGTCTCCTGGGTTTGGCTTCTTCAACTTGACTTTCCGGGCGCCCGGCGGAGCCAGGCCCGTCGGTCCCTCCCTGGGGAACGCGGCTGCACACACAGGAAATGCAGCAGGTCCGCGTGCAGCTGTGTGCTTGAGCACTTCTCAGCCGTGTCTGGACCACAGATTTCTTCACAGTCACCGGCTTCCTCAGCGCGGGCCGGCAGCTGTGATCTGGGGAGGTGAGAAGCAGACATGGCAGTGTGGCTAGCACTGTCTGCTCTCCTGCTTCAGGCTAAAAACAGAGACCCCGGAAATGTAGGTCCCGTAGTTATGCAGCAAATGAAGGAAGCTGTGGGGTGAATAAGCACAGGGAAACTGAGGCACCGGCGGGAGAAAGGAGTTGTCCAAGATTTGGCGGCAGTTGGTGATCCAGATGGGGAAGGACCAGGGTTCCCTGTGAGCTGGGCTGATTAGCAGAGTGCCCTCCGCTAGGTTTGCTGTTTCTGTTGGTGGTGCGTATTCGCATAGGCCTCTGTGCACGTAAAAAATTGATTCCGCACATGGATGGAAAAAATCTGCACAGGGATGGGAAAGATTAGAGGAGACCTTGCATGGGATCAAGGTTTGTTTGAACCCCCGACTCATTTATTATTTCTTCTCTATACACAGGGGAAACTGAGGCACGGAACTGGCCAATTAAAGGAGCTGGGAAAGGAACCCAGGGGTTCTGAATCCTAATCTCCCTGCTTTAATCACTAGACCCTTCCCTCCCAGAGCCGCTCCCACGGGCTGGGGGCCGAGGGGGTTCGGCGGAAGCTGAGCTGTCTGCGGGCGCAAGCTCGTGGGCAGCCGTCCGAGGTGTGAAATTCGGTTTCCCATCTGTGCAGGGTGTTCACACGGCGTGCAGCCAGCAGGGCACATGGTGCGGCCCCAGTGAAATCTCCCGGGCCGTGCGGTGTATTGTTGGGTTTGCATGGGCAGGCCCCAGCCCCGGGGCCGTAGGAGCGCGACTGAGCGTCTGCCCGTCCACAAGAT